AAGACAGACTACCAATAACTTTAACTCTCTTCTCAGTTTACTCAAGCCATTTTTCATCTGGGCCAAAAAGCCATTCTTTAATGAGACAAGCCTTCCCTTTCTACCTCAGAGCCACAAAATGTTTATGCTTCCACAGGGCACATGGCACTGCCCATACCTATGTGAAGGTGGCCACACGCCCCTGTTTTCTTTCAACTTCAAACATTGTTATTAGTGTGGACACTGTCTGACAAGATTACCTCTTTTCCATGCCCTCACACTTTCCTGCGTGGCTCTCATACTAAGTGTACATCTATACCATCATGTGGAAACAGGCCAGAGTGCAATAGCTTGCACACCTTTGAAATAGAAAGGGTGGGATGGGCACTAAGGAGAACCAGGACCAGTCACTGTTCTGCCACAGATTTCCCACATGACTTTTGGCAAGTAATTTATTGTCTCTGGGCTTCAGTTCCTCATCAGTAGAAGGGAAATAATAGGTCCTGCCTTGCATGTGTTCTGTGAAGATAAATTACTTTAAAGATTGAGACCCTCAGACATCATGGTAATTGGGGCCAAGAAAGATAAGAGACAGAAGGCAAGAGAGAAGAATGATTGAACATCACCTCAGACATTTCACAGTGTGATCTTCCTGCTTTTTTGAAAAGGGCTGAGCAGGTTTGGATGGTGCTGCAACTGAAACGCAGTAGCAGTGCTTACAAAAATATCTGTAGGCAGGTTGGGTGTCCTCACCGTGTTGTCAGCATGCAAACTAAGACTGTGGACAAATATACCTTTCACTGCTTTAAAAGGGAAGGGGGAGCTGCCAGTTAGGACCACACATACCGTGCAATTGTTGCGTCTGCTTCTGTGGTGATACAATTAAGCTAAATCATTGTAGTTTTTACCTTGTTCCCTTCACTTGTATCACTGCAGAATCTGCACAAGTATCTTGTGTTGTAACTGTTTCTATTGGTATGGATGGGTATCAGTACAGTCTGTCTATACCTTAACTCAAGATACCTGTCCAGAGAAGGAAAGAGGAATAACAGTGAAAAGACCTCATGAAGTTAGGTGGGTTTACGGCCTTGTATGTTCGATCAGCATGGCTCTCTGTCAGCCTGTTGTCCTTGTACATCTAACTTGACTCTGTTCAAACAGTTCTTAGTTTAGCTCTCAGGCTACCTGCCAGGCTGCCCCTCCCTGTCCTGTCCTCAGTCTCCTCAGCTGACTCCACCCCTGCAAGTTGCAACTTCTTAGACCATTTCCTGATCCCAGCCCTTGCATCTCTCAGCTAAGCAGGCTTTCTGATTGAGGAAGGCAGGGAGCAAGTGTTGCATCAGCTGGAATGCGTCATTCTGTTCTGTAGTCATCCTCTTTCCTTCTTTTGAAAGTGGCTTACAAAGGATTCCCTCCCTGAAGTACTTCAGTTCTTTCTCTAGTCAAAAGACTTGAAAGTCTCAGCCCTGCATAGGTGAGAAGCAGGATTTGTTTGGTAATCTCTTTCACTGGATCAACTATGTATTTGGAAGAAATTTTGCACAAGCTTTTGGGCACAAAATGTCTTTCCTCCAATCACCAGCAATTGGTACCCTGAGACCAGTCTTGGTTGAAGCATCTTGATACTACCATAACAAAATGATACTCGGCCCAATTCATACTGCAGAGTTCATATGAATTCATAAATGTCTTGATATAATATCTGAAGACCTTCTGTAGCAGTAGGTGAAGCAGTAGGTTTTGCTCGTTGCAGAGAGGAAACCCAACTAACCAAATCGTTGTTTTATTCTAATACAGCAGTTCCTGTATCTATTTAGAACTGCTGAAATATCTGCCTACACAGCGGTTCCTGAGAGGAGTAGCTGTGGGACAAGCAGGCTTACCGTGAAAGCTCTGGAGCTAATGTATGAATGCCACATCTTGACTTGATTATGGGGCTTGTACTATGAGAATATCTTGGACCAGATCAGCAGGGAAACCGGAAGGCGAGACAATGACTTGAAATAAGATCCCTTCAACTTGTCAGACTGTTACAAAACACCTAGGAGTTAGTGCAAGGGCTTTCTGCTTTGGTGCTCTGCTTGGCCCCCCGCAAGCCCCATCAGCCTAGTTCTGATCTGTAGATTCAAGGAAAACTGAAAACACAAAGAATTCAAACTTTGCTTGATTTAAAGACAGGCCCTCCTGGACAGAGGCAGGGAGAGCTAAGGGATCCCTGAAGTTGGTGTGTCTGGAGAGTGGGATCGGGATGAAGTTTCTGCTGAGGAATGGTGGGTCTTTAGGGTAGAGAGAGAGACACGCATTGTGTTGGTGGCTGTAAAATCCTATTCCTCTTCTGCCAGGCTTTGTTGCTCTGGTTGAACAAACATACTTCTCTGTTAACCTCATTTTTTTTTTATATTACACAAGCACTCGGTGGTCTCAAATCCACACTGAGGTTTGTGCTTTGCATGCAAAGACATGGTCCAGGCCCCAAGGAACTTGAAATCCAAAATGTTAAATGGAAGTAATTCTTTCCTATTGCAAATGAGGTTTCATAAGGCCTAATTAACAATGGAGATCCTGGATAAAAAGGGACCTACAAGTGCCAAGTAGCATAATAGGCAGCATTTGTTTCAGTGTTTATAGTTGCTTTTGCTTGTGCTTTAAACAAAACATTTGCAGTGAGGCATATTGTAAGGGATGTGGTGTGGGGGATGCTGTGAAATGAAGAAAAACTAAAGGGAGGTATACTTTTTGGCAGGTGATTCAGAATAAGATCTGAATCACAATATCTAGGGGGAAAATAATAAAAGATCTTGTCCTGTTAGGGCAGAGCCAAAGCACTGCTGATCTAACATGGGCTCTGCTTGTTTGATTTTTCATACCAGAATGCCAAGACCCCTTCCTCCTCCCTGCCATCTAATTATTGCAATTCTCTTACAGTGGATGACAGCACGGGTGTTATTCACTGCCTCTGCTGGAAAAGTCCCAGGGAAGTAGAAAAGCCTTTGTCAGGTAACATACAACTGCACAGTACTTTGCAGCTTTGATTTAATACTTCTGCCTGCATGTTACTTGGATCCGATCATAAATTATCATTCACAGATATGAAAAATACTTAGTAGCATGTCTATAGCCTGTATCGGCCTGGGATGCTGATGCCCTAGCATAGCCTCCCCATAGTGGACTCTCTGTGTCGTTGCCAGTGGTGATGCCAACAAAAACACAGCGCTCATTCTTTCTCTGGGCAGGGTAGTGTTTCAGTTTTACTGTGCAAAGTTGTTCAAAAGATCTTCTTCCTATGTGTCCCTTTTGTGACATCATCTGGTGATGAAATATCCTGGACAGTTGCCAGTTGTTACAACTGCAGTTTCCAAAACTAACCAGTTGACTTCCATATACCAGCTCCATCCTATCCATTTATAGTACAAATAACTTGTCAGTTTATATGGATGTTTTTCTCAAGTTCCTGTATGCATGTGCCATTGACAACTAGCTTGCAAGTAACCTATAATAGATTGAAAATGCAAAGTAAGTAGTTCCAAATGCACCAAGTAGTGACTCATTTCTTGCCAACAAGCAGTAGTGAAATAAGTCATTAATGTCTAGCTTTCTCTCCTAAACAACCCTTTCCCCTTCCTACTCATCCAGCTATTTTACATTTACGAATTCTCAAAGATCAGAAATATGGGGAAAGTCCCTACTTTGCATCGGATCAGGTTCACTTCAGCAGGTTTAGGATCAGGCCTATATCTCTCTTGGTGTCAGTTATACACAAGGAGCAGAATTCTCTGATTATCTAAATGAATTAAGCTCTGTTGAGCTCATATACAACAACAGAGCATATTGTTTTATGTTGTTAAAACAATGATTGCATAAGATGTCCATTGATTATACCTTATCACCAGATTAAATTAAGCTCACAATGTTGAATATGGAAGGTGAATTAAAGTGAAGCTTCATCTGGAGTACTGTGTCCAATTTTGGGCCTCATACTTTAAGAAGTATGTGAATAGATTTGGAACAGTCCAGTGCAGAGCAATAAAATAATTAGGGGCCTGGAAGGCAAGATTTTTAAGAAGAACTAGACTAGAACTGAAAGAACTAGGGTTAGTCTGGAGAAGAGAAGACTGAGGGGGGATTTGGTAATAGTCTTCAAATACATGAAGGCAATTAGAGAGAGGACGGAGATGGGCTTTTCTCTGTGGCCACAGGGTACAAGGACTAGAAACAATGACCTCAAGCTGCAGCAGGGGAAATTGAGGCTGGAGATTAGGAGGAACTTTCTGATTCTGAGGGTGATCAAGCATTAGAACAGGCTATGTAGAGAAGCTGTGGAATCTCCATTCTTGGAAATGTTGAATAGCAGGATAGACAAACACTTGGCTGAGATGGTTTAGTCAGGGACAATCCTGCCTTGAGCACAGGGGCTGAATTAGATGACTTAGTGAAGTCCGTTCCAGCCCTTCTTTCCTGTGATCCTGTGGTCTACTCTATCAAGAGAACAAATGCCAGGGGAGAGAAGAATAATTAAAGCCAAAGGTTCAGGGGAATTTTGACACAATAACAAATGGACATAAACTGTCCAGGAATAAATTCAGGCTGAAAATCATATTTTTAACCATCAGAGGAATGTGGCTCTGGAACAGCCTTCCCATAGGACTAGTGGGGCAAGAAACCTAACTAGCTGTCGGAAGGAACTTGATCACTTTATGGAAGGAATAATATAACAAGGCAGCTCACAGGAGCAAGAACTTGCCTTAAAGAAACCTGCTGGAAAATCAAATCCTATAATGTCAGGTTTTTTAAAAGGGAGCCCTTGTCTGTAGTTTTTGATCAGTAACCCCTTTCCATTTGTAAGATGCACTGTGTTTGGTAAAATCATCAGTCGGAGGTAACAGAAAGACTTTTTCCAGCCTGTTCCAGTCATAGTTGGAGTGTAAAAGCTAATTAGGTTTTAAGTATTAAGGTGTGGGCTTGACTCTTACAGAGCGGTGTTACATAAATGTGGTGTCATTACAGGCACAAAAGCCTTTGACTCATTTCAGAAGACTTGGGCTTTTGTTTTATACAAGGGCTTGATTGACAGCCTGCAACATGCTACCCAACTTACAATCAGTATCTTTTTTTTGATGTTGTGAAGCAGAGTTCAGTGTGTTCATGGTGAAAACTGTAGCTGCTATCTTTCCATCAGGAACCAAGCACCACACCCCCCCCCCCCCCAAAAAAAAAAAATTAGTAAAATGGCACTTTGTGGCTTTGTTTGCTGGGAGCTCCAGTGCACCCTTTTTTGTAAGATGGAGGCTCAGCAAAGGTCTATCTTGAGAATGGTACAAGGAGAGCAGCACTCTTGAGGCCTACTCTATATGACACAACATTTGCTAATAGAACTCCAGTTTTGCGGTAAAACATTGGGTACATCCATGCCAAAAGCCCTTCTTCACTAGCAGAGCCCTCCACCCTGCCAGCAGAGTTACTCCACTTTGACTGAACATAGTAAGACTTCTTCCAACAGAAGGTGTGTGTAGATACTCCTATGCCTTCTGTTGGGTGCTACAGGGCCCTTCGTGCATGCTATCAGCCACCTGATGTCTGCCCTCAGAACCTATGGCAGTGAGTGAGGGGTTTGGTCTAGATACGCCCTATGCTTATCTCTGATCTCCCCACAGCTTTTGCAACTCAGGCAAGCACATCTAGCAGTCTGGCTCTACTTGGACATGTGAAGAAGCTCCAGGAAGTGGTGCATCAGAAAACCAAGCTGGAAATTGGGGATGTTGTCAGAATCAGAGGCCATATGCGGATATACAGAGGGCAGCGAGAAATTCAGACCTCCACCTACTGTGAGTATTCTCCATTGCTATTGAGAGAGAGAGTGTGTGTGTGTGTAGTTTGGTTTTTACACTGAATTTTTTAGAAGATCAGAGTTGGGCAGTAGCATAACTAAGTTGGGGGAGCAGCAGAAGGCACAAGCCCAGGGCACTGACTAGGAAGGGTGCACCAGAATTGCCTCCTGGCAGTCTTTGCCACAGAAAGGGCAGCTCTGCACTGTCCCAGATCTATGGTTACTTTGGCAATATTGGTGGTGATTGTCACAGATTTGGTCTAGGCCTGAACTTTGGACAGACATTTGTGTGGCAGCCTTGCTTTTATCTCATGTTCTACTAAGTTTCTTGATTCTGCATAGTAACTGGATATCTCGGGCACAATTCACAGGTGCAGACCCTGTGTCTTGCAACTCTCTTGGCATTGGGACCCTTCTGTCTGTTGCTGGACACTTGGACCAGTGCCTTCAGTTACTTAGAATAAACCTGATGTGAGCACTAGTTTTGCTGGTTATGGCAACAAAGTAAGGGGACAGTGGTTTAGAAAAAGAATATCTTACATATGCATGTTCTACTCTTCACTGCAAGAGAACTATATATCTAGGGAAAACAATCTCCTGCATGCACTCTCCTTTGGTCCTTTGGTCTGACCTTACCCCTCTAAGAGTTTGGATAAGGCATAAATGTTACTGCAGGGTTGGTGGCACTTCTGTCTCCCCATTAGAATTTCTGTTTCTGATGGTGAAATGATTTGTTTGGTTTGGAGAAACATGTTTTAAAAATCTGTAACTCTTTGGGCCAGAGGAAGGAATGGTAGCTCCCCTCAGCTACATACTCAGGTCTTGGAGGAACAGGCTTTTCTTCCCAGACAAGCTTATCTGAAGAAATAATCTGTTCATGAGTGAAGGCCAAACCAGCTACTGAGCACGTGTTTCACTGGGGGAGGGCCATTTAATGCTGATGGACACTTGGTTGCTTTGTCACACTTTTTTCAAGCAGAGCTGTTCACTTGGTGTGAGATCCCATAGGCTCAGAATGGCTGTTACAAGCAGAATTTGTAACTGGAGCCATTACAACAATTATCTATCTTATCTCTTAAATGCTTTTAGAATTTTGCAGTCTTATAGTGGGATTAGCAACATGACATTATTAAATCAATGGAGAACAAAACTTGTGTTGCTCCTAAAGGAGCTGGTAAGAGAGTTTCATGTTAGTGCATAGGTTACATTGTAGCAGTTCCACCGTGCTAGTCAAAAAAGTTAATATGGGGTTTGTCTCTCCTTGCAGACAAGGTGGATGATCCCATGTACGATGTTCAAATTTCAAGAATGCTGGAACTCCCCTATCTCTACAGGGAAGTTTATGATAAGCACTTCCAAATGCCACAGGAGGCACAGAGGTAAATAGGACACTTGCATCAGTGTTCAGGCTGGGGATGGAATTTTCCCTGTCAATAGCACATTATGATAGTGCTTCAAGGCCAAATAAGAATTGGCTTCATTGTGCAATGCGCTATACAATGCCCAGTATAGGCAGTGCCTACCCCATTGGATGGGGAAAGAGACGTAACACAAAAGCAGAGCGAGTGTGGTAGCAGCAAATATCACATTAGTTAAGTGACTCTTTTTGGGGTGAGTGTTAGTCCTCATTAAATTTGGTTACTAGGACAGACATTGCTACAGAGATTCACATTAAATTGTGAAGTGAAGCATATTGCACAGAATCCTGTTTCATTGGAGAATAGGCTTTAAAAGCAACGGCCCATCCCTTAGCTTAGGGACAGAACTTCAGCCATATCTTTCTGTTAGCCAAATGAAAATATGACTAGTTGCCTCAGACTCGTGGCCTTTTGGGGTAGGAGAGCAAAAAAGAAACTTCAGAGGAAAACTTGCCCCCCAGTCCCATCTCCTCCCCATATTCACATGCACACTTAGGAGAGCTAACTCCTTTCTTCAGAGGATTCATGTCTTTAAGAGGAGTTTGAAAGGGAAGGGGAGCTTATCTATTGTACTGGGATATTCCTAAATGGACAGCCCATAAACCATGAGTTACTGAAAAACCTTGAAGGAAGCAACCATAGAGGGGTCTAGGTATTCTACTTCAGCAAGTGAAGAAGAGCCATACCTTTGTAACACCAAAGGATTGATTACAGCTCACCTGGAAGAATCTTAATTGCCATGAAACTCTGACTGTGCATGCTGGGTTACATGCATTGTCATCTTACAATGTCTAAGGTTCTACCTGTATTAAAATGTTGCTTAGTACAGCCCAGTGGAAGTTATGCACGTACCAAATGAGCACTTGGAAAGCAGTTATTTTGAAAATGAGTGAAGGGTCATAGCGGACAGGGAAATGAATCAGAGCTCCCACTGGTGAAACAGAGTACTGAGTAGGAGTGGGTAGGTGATTTTTTTACCTCCAAATATGAATCATAGAATCATAGAAAATTATGGTCATATGGCACCATTGAGAGCAATCTTGGAATACTGGTTCCAGTTTTGTCTATATCTTTTGTTTTTTGTTTATTTTGTTAAACATTGACACAAATTAGTGAGAATATAGAAATGAGCCATTAAAATAATCAAAGGGCTGGAAACAATGCCTTAAAGCAGATGTCAAACTCATTGGGTTCAGGGGGCTGGATGAGTAGCTTGGGGCTGGTCCATGGGTTGGATGAGCAGGATGGGGCTGGTCTGCAAGACTGGTCCCGTGGACTGCCCCTGTACTAGATCCAGTGTGCAGGACTAGTCTGGTGCAAGTGCTACAAGCACCCCAGATGGCTCTGTGTCGTGCGTACTCTGGATCTAACCCCATGTGCTTCAGGGAGCATGTGCTGGGTCCGTTGTGCATGCCGCACGGAATGCATGGGTCCAGTCCAAGACCCATGGGTGATACAGTGGACCAGATGATAGGGCTTCATGGGCCGTATCTTTGACACCCTTTCCTTAAAAAGAGGACCTAAAGGAGCTCTCTGTCTTCCACTTATTAAAAGCGATCAAGAAAGGATTTGTTCTTGGTGTGCAAGTACTTCCATGGTGGGAAAATACAGGATCAAGAAGGTGCTTACATCTAGTAGAGGCAGGTATAAGAAAAACCAGTGGCTAGAAGCTTACATCAGGGCAATTCAAATTCAGTACTTTTTTTTTCCCTCCAACCTCCATGGGTAATTAACCACTGGAACAAATAAACTTGGGGAAGTGATGATTTATCCATTGCCGGAGGTCTTCAGGCCAGGACTGGATGCTGTGCTGTTCAGGAAATGTGCTCTGTATCCAAATGCAAATTAATGGAGCCAGATTAGAGTCATTTGGGTGAAACACAATGGATGGTGAAATACAGGAGGTCAAACTAAAATATCTCTTTAGCCTTAAACCCTAACCTTCACTAGCTTGTGATTGACCTAGATCTGCCTAGAAACAAAAGCTTATGCCATTAGAATGGAAGAAGCTTGCCTTTCTGCAAAGGTATCCTTTAGTTTCTAAATATTGTTGGCCCTAGAGCAGATTTTTAGAACTGTCACTGTACAGGACAGGTATGAGTTAAGTGTTGATGTTCTTATTTTAGGTATGGGAATATTTGAAGGTGTAGTGGGGAGATTCTTTTGGGAGCGATAGGAGGGCAACCAACTACTTTATAAAGATTCTCACAAGTGTTAGTTGTTGGTGCCCGGGAAAATGCAGAGTGCAGTGAGGGAGTCATAGATGTAGAATGAAACCAATTCACTACGTGAGATTTATGACTCTTGAGCATAATACAGTTTCAGAAACAGGTCCTTACGTAACTAGCCTGATTGCAAAAGTGCTGTATGTCTTATAGTTCCCACTGACTGCAGAATGCCAAGAATTCACCTCTCCAGTAGGATGAGATGAGGTTCTTGATATGATTGGGTGTGAAACAGCAGATCTTAATTATGACTTCAGTTCTAACTTCTTGAAAGTCTGACTTCAGTGCTGGCTGAAACACATGGATGCTTGGCACAGGTGAAAATTACCCCACCTATTTAGGAGTGTAATTTTTTTTTTCAAAAGTACCCAAGGGTAATACCTAAGGTGATGCATACCAAGATGTTCTGTCTGTGCTAGCTCCTGAACCAGGACTGATATTGCTCTGCTGCACTAAGAGGACATCACTTAGCTGCACAAACTTGGCTTTATCACTGCTGGTTCATAGTTGTAGTGCAGTGGGCCTTGGCATCACACTGTTTGGTGCCCTATGGATGGGCCTATTCTGAGCCGGATACGCAAGTCCCATCAGTCTCCACTCTTGAAAAGCCTATGTCTGGGAGCCTGTTTTTGAAAAGCTTGACTGCATGCTTGTTTTGCCTTGTGATATCTTCCCATGTTTTTTATCCTCATAGTGACCCAAACTTTTCAATGGATATGTTCATTGAGAAAGTGAAAGACTTCCTAGTGAAGAACAGAATCCAGACCTTTTATCCACAGGAGCTGGAAACGGTTAAGTCTTTGGTGTCACTAGCCAGTGAGCCAGCACCCAGTACCAGCCTGCAGCAGGTGAGTGCATGTACTGCTAGCTTCTGAGCATTCAGCTGGTTAAAATAATGCTTCTCACATGCTATCAGATGCATGTATGTTAAAATTGCCTGGCTTTTGGCTCTTCTTTAGGCACCTAAATGCTGATTTCTGATCTTTAGGTATAGACATGAATTATTTACAGGGTCTGAGAAGCTCTGTCTCATGTCACTTGAGCTGTTCAGTACTTGAGAAAAGCACAGGTTAAGAATCTTTCATTGGGAATAACCAGTGCTGGCTGCAGGAGTGCACAGATAATGTCTACATTCAACCTCTGACCTGCCCAGATATGTGGCAGCAGTGAGGGAGAGCTCTTGAAGACACAGCAACAGTTTGTGGGCTAGGTCTGAGGAGTTCTGAACTTGGTCAGGGAAAGATGATTGAAACCCAGTGCATTATCACTGGCCTAAACTTAGAAAAGAAGTTGTAATGAGTGAGTGGACATCTGTTCCTCATTACAAACCCATCTTGTGGGACATCTCCAGTTGTGGGGATCAGAGGCTTAGCTCTAATTGGAATCAGAACTGGACATAAAGCCACTGTCTGTTTGAGAAATGGGATGTGTTTTAGCATGCTAGTGTGGCCTCTGCTTCTCATTCCAGGGCTGATGAAATGAAGCGTGTTTTTTTTTCTGGGGTTCTAATATGCAGAGACTATTACTTTTTTAATAAAAATAACTGTCCAGATTCTCCACTAGTGTAAACTGGCCTATCTCTGATAAAGTTAATAGAGTTATGCTAACTTACATCAACTGGGGGGTTTGGTTTATACACACCTATAATTTTAAGTACTCAGGTATGTTACTAATGACAGCTGAGATCATTAAAGTGGAGTGTTATAACTGATTCTTTTTTTTCCCCCTTAATTTTTTTGGTTTTCACTATCCCTCGAGGAGAAAATGCATGCCAGCTGGTTTCAAGGCTTGACTGTGATGTACCAGCAAAACATCATGGCTGCTTATAGATGTGAAAACCCCGCCTCAGCACTTCACTTTAAGCTCAGTGTGCCCCTGCCCTGAACACAGTGCGTGCCTAGAAAAGGTATTGCATTAGTGTGACCTGGCTCACCCAACATCTGTATAGATTGCTTGCTTCAAGGGGTCTTTTTGGCACTTTTATGTAATAGCTGATTGAAAAAAGCACCAAAAAACCCCACTAAAGTGCCCGATCTACACAGACACTGGGGAGCTGGGTTGAACTAACATGTGACCTCTTCCAGTAAAGCGCTGGTTTTTTAAAATTTTGTTTTCAACATCTGTCAGCAGTCTTTGTATCCAGATTATAAATCTTTAAAAAATTCTAGTTGAATGAATTAAAACAATATGAATAGGATTATTTTTCCTTTTGGCTTTGGTAAACTGCTTCCTAGTGGTTGCTTCCTGGTCACCATTTATTTTCCTTTCCTCTTCTCAGTAAAGACGTTTTGTTATATTTCAAAGCAAACAAGCACAGATTTTGACAGAAGCCCTGCTGTTGTGCAGTAGAGAAACACAGTACAAAACATGAAACACAGGCACTGGGATAAACTTTTTCCTCCCCCCAAACTAGCTAAAAATAAAGGATTCAAGCTAAGAGTCTGTAAACAGTCTGGGTTATAGAAAGGCATGATCACTTTAACTAAGTTTGAGTGCTAAATGGTAGTGTTCATAGGACTCCTGGCATTCATGGGATACATTGTTCTTTTCCCTGGAGGGCTTTGTAAATCATCTTTTCTGTGTATACTGCACCCAGCACAATGGATCCCAGTTTATCATATAAAATCTGTTGCTGCTGCCCCTGATGCAAGTGACTTTTACAGATCCCAGGAAATTGCACACCTCTGCAATCCTTCAGGAATTGCACTTGCTCCATGATGCCTATTGCTTTTAATCCACCTGGAAGTATTGTATTTTGTTAGTATCTGCAGCTTTTCCATGATATGCACCTCTTCAGACCACCTCTCAGTAATATCCTTGGAATGCATTTTATTGTCCATTTCAGTCATTTCCAACCACAGTTTTTGCATAGCCTACAAAGGGCTCAGTTCACTGCTTGGTCCTAGACACACAGGGCATCCGTACATGTGCCTGATGCCTGCTCCGACACATTCTAATTAGAGCATGTCAGAGCAGACTTGATTAATTGAGACTGCTGCAGTGTGCTAATTAGCACGCTCCAGCAGCCTTGGCATCACGTGTATTGAGGGTCTTTGTGGTTCAAAATGGCGGCAGGACTGTTTTAACTTAAGCTTGTTGAACAAACTTTTGTTAACGTGCCCCCACCACCATTTTGAAGCACAGGATGCTAAATATACTAGATGCTGCGGGCATTTTAATTAAAGTGGCTCCCAAGAACGGCTCCAATCAAAGTGCCGTCCCGCCCCTCACCATTCTGGAGCACATGTAAAGATGCTCATAAAGTCCATTGGCTCTGGGATCTTGATTGTCCTGCCTCTTGTGTTGTCTTCTACACAGTGCCAACTCCATGTGAGGCTCTAAGTCAGGATGGTAACATGCTATGTTATCCATACTTGGCTCTGGTGTGAATGGCCATACCAGCGGCAGGACAAGAAAGATTTGGGCTTAGTATTTAAGTCTGCAGCTGAAGGATGATGCAGGAAGCCTGAAGAACAAGCCTCCCAAGCGCATCCTGATGAATGGTGTTTGCTTACTTTTTGCACTTAGCTCAGACACTAAAAACTTGGTTTCGTTCTCATAGTATCGTAGAGATTAGGGTTGGAAGGGACCTAAACAGATCATTAGGTTTGACCCCCTGCCCCGGGCAGGAACGGGTACCGTGGTCATATCACCCCGGCCAAATATCTGTCCAGCCTCCTCTTGAAGACCCCCAAGGTAGGAGAGAGCACCACCTTACTTGGAAGCCCATTCCAGAGCCTGGCAGTCCTAACTGTAAAGTAATGTGTCCTGATGTCCAGCCTGAACCTTCTCTCTATTTGTGGCCATCATTCCTAGTAACCTTGGGTGGTGCCCAGGGGAACAGAACCTCCCCCAATTCCCACAGGTCCCCCCCACCGGTGAGTTTATAGACAGTCACCAGATCCCCTCTCAGCCTTCTCTTGTGGAGGCTGAATAGGTTCAGGCCCTTTAGCCTCTCTCCGTATGGCCTGCCCAGCTGCCTGTTGACCATGCGAGTGGCCCTCCTCTGGACCCTCTCAGTGCTAGCCACATCCCTCTTGAAGTGCATTGCCCAGAACTGGACACAGTACTCCAACTGTGGCTATAAATTTTGGTTTATAATTTGTTTCCTTTTCTGGTCCTCATGCTCTAGCCTGAGGATAGCCAACCTGCAGTGCACATGTCACAAGTGGCACAGTGTGGCAGTGCATGTGGCACGTGGTAGATCAGGGAGGGGACAGACAGCACAGCAGGAGATAGGCCAAGAAGCAGAAAGCAAACAACAGATGGGGCAGGGAGCAGAAAGCAGAGCAGCAGATTGGGCAGGGGAAGGGGATTGGAGTGCCAATTAAGGAGGATGTGGGGTTACTTTGTGGGTTTGCCTGCCAAAAAAGTTTACCCCTGGTGGTCTAGCACAAAGTTGTAACCCTTTGGATTTCATACACTGCAGGAGTTAATAACAAGCAAATCTTTTGGGTAAAGAACACTTTTTAACAAATGGATACTTCCTCCCCATAAAAACGATGTCCTTTCTGGTCTCAAGCTGTCTCGCATCCCCCATCTTTTGCTGAAACAAATGGCTTTCGGGCATAGAGAAGATAAATACTGCAGTGCTGATTACGAACAAACATTGTATTTGATGTGAGAACAAGCATTTGGTTCCTTTTTGAACAGAAACAATTTATATACCTTGATCCATCTAGTTCCTGAACTGGAGTAAATAGAACCTTGCTGTGGCTTAGAAGCGAACAACCACTGTCTTATTGTGCCCTGTGGCTTAGCTTGCTGTGTTAAACAGCTTTTTTATCCACTTCCTCCATCATGAAGCTAAACAGCATACTATTTTAATAACATCCGTTCCACTTGGTAGTATATCACTAGTTTGGACATATCATTTGGGGTTGTGCTTTCCAGACTGCTGAATATAATCCCAAAGTCAGCAATGACAAATAGAGTAGGGAATTTAAAATGCTGTTTATATTTACTATGGGCTTGGGGTTTTTAATATTCTTCTTCATTCATCGTTGTTGTTTTGGCTTTTCAACATATATCTGCTGCCTGCTGTTTAGACAGTACTGCAAAATAGATTACTTGCCAGTCATAAAGTCTTGTAAGAGTGACTCCTCAACAGGTGTTACCTGTTCAAAGTGAAAGCTCAGTCACATGTAAACCTTTCTTTGCTTTTCACATGAATAATACTGTGTATGTGGTTATACCACTTTGCCACCCCCTGGGTATCTTGTGACTCATGATGAGCCAATAATTATGTGCCTTCAACACTCCAGGCAGAGAGAGTGATTCTTGCACCACTCCTCTCCTTAACCTATTGTTGATTGAAATCGGTTTTGTTTTTTGGTTCGTTTGTTTTTTAAGGTATAAAATGAGAGTACTTGGCTGTGCAAGTCTCAGCCTGTTGTGCAGTGTGAGGCCCTTTCAGCATAGAGGATGCAATTAAAATACAGAATTGACAGTTTGGACATGTGGATTATATTGTAAGCTCTGCCAGTTATTCCACAAGTAAAACCCTGGGGAAGTCATTATTCAACCTTTGCCTTTTTCTTTTTCTCCCTATTGTTACCCTTATGGGCAGAGTGGGGATACTAGCTTACTTTTACAAACATGACTAGTGGTGTTTTTCCCCCTTGAGTACTTCCAGTTTTGGAGCATACAGGTTGAATTGTCCTGAAGAGCCTCAGTTTTTTGTGTTGTTTTTTTTTTAAAGCTCTCATGTCCTTAGCATTTTTACTTTGTTGGAGTTGTGTCTCCTTAAGACAGGGGTGGGCAGTTATTTTGGCTGGAGGGCCACTTTGGGAGTTTTAGTGAGCTGCCGCAGGCCGGATCAGCACCTTCCCTGCCACCACAGCTCACCAAAGCTCCCTAATTCACCCCCTTGCAGCTGGGATGGGACTGTGGCCAGGCAGGAAGCAGCATCCGAGACCAGGACAGACAGGCAGAGCCAGAGCCAAGGCTGGGATTGGGATTGAGGGGCAGTAACAGTGCAGGGCCAGGACAGAGTTGCAATTCACTGCCCGCACACCCCTGCAAAGGGCACTGGTTCTATCTGCGCCACACCCATGACCTAGGGCAGGACCCACGTGAGCTGGGTGCACAGCCGGGCAGCTGGGATGAGGCCATGGGCAGGCAGGGAGCCATATTGGGAGTGGGACTGCTGGGCAGGGCCATGGTCAGGGGTGGGATTGGGATTGCAGGGCAGTGAAGGTGCAGGGCCACAGCCAGGGCAGAGCCATGATCCACTACCTGCACACCCCTGCCTGCGGACCTGGTGCCAGTCCCAGCCCCACACTATCACCACCCCAAGATCCTGGACCTGGCTCCGGATGCATTTCCCCACCCACCCACAGACCCATCCCATCTGCTCGCTGAGTGTACCCTGCCTACGTGCAGGTCCTGGTCGGTCTCAGTGGAGACTGTGGGATTGTGGGGCAGTGATAGTGCAGGGCCGGTGCCTGGGCAGAGTTGTGAACTGCTGCCCACGTGCCCCTGCAAGGGGTGCCAGTTCCATGGGCAGGGGCATGCAGGGAGCAGATTGCAGCTGTGCTCTGGCCCTGGCCCCACACTGTCACTGCCCTGTTCCTGATCTTCAGCCTCGCCTGCCCATCCCAATCTCAGACATGGCTCCCCAGCTGTCCATGGCCTCATCCGAGCCACTTGGCTGTGCGCTCTGCCCCTGCAGGTCCTGCCCCCAGTGGTAGGGGTGTGGTGGATGGGCCGGGGTTCCCTGGCAGTAGGGCTGGGGCTGGCAGCAGTAGCCAGAAGGAGCCACCACTGGGACTGCTGGGAAACAGAGTCCAGCTGCTGCACCACCCTAGCCCTGCTGCGCACTGAGGGGCGGCAGGATCAGTGTCATGCACCACAGTCCAGGCTGCCCCCTGTGCCTGAGCTGGCTGAGGCCCAGGGACCTGCTCCAGGCTAGACAAAATGGCTTGATGGGCCAGATCTGGCCCACGGGCTGTATTTTGCCCACCTTTGCCTTAAGCTGAAGAACCCAGAAGCTAGTCACTTCAAAAACTAAGGCAGTACTCTTGCCTGTCTCCTGAAAAGTTCTGGCCTGTAACTAATAAAATTCTTCTCTGCTGTTTTGCATCAGGCTCTAGATCATTAATGCTCACAGAGTGCTTTTTCATTGCCGACAGGAAGCCCTATAAAAAGCAAAGGATGAGTAGACAAGCCTTCTCACAGGGCTTCACAGCCACCTTTTAACCTGTCCAGTGTCCAAGCCGTCCGCCTCCGGGGGGAATAGGAGCAGGGGAGTAACATCCCATAGAGTTACCAGCCCACAGACTGCTGGTCTTCATTATCCATTTGAATTGGAGCCTGGTACCAAAGAGAACTCCATTTTTACTTTGAAGATCTTCACCTGGTGGCTACATCAGCTACGCAGTCCAGTACCAGTTGGTGTATGGTCATTGTAACAGGGACAGGCATAGAGTGGTTAGAGCGTTCTTTGGAGGGCTTCATCACGCACTCCTTTGGAGGCTTGTTGCAGCAGAGTGGTGTGAAAGGAGGTGCAGCTTGGCATAGGAGAGAGGGGCGAGGAGAGGCTTCTGAGTGGCATGTAGGAGGAACACCCAGGGGGGGTGGTTTTAGGGAACATGTTGAAAGTGAAATCCCTTGGTCCTATGGGAGACTGAAAGGGCTGGGGCGGGTATTGCAGGAGAGATGCCTGGCAAAGATGTCATGGATGAGCTGAAAGGGCACAAAGAGAAGGAAATTGCTTTGGTGAAGAAAACTACCAAACCATGCCCTGCCTGCAGGGTTGGGGAGGCAGAGGTGTATTCTGGGCCATGCTGTAGAGACACCTGGCTGGTTCTTGATGCCAATGCCCCTGCTGCCACCAAAGTCTCCTGTGCCTATGGCAGGGGCAGGAATCCTCCCTGCCCCGTGGAGCGCTATTGTTGCGAGGCTGCTGCACCCGAGCTTGGGGGTGGTGCGCCAAGGAGGCACTGATAAGGGGGAGCTGCTGGCTTGTTTTCTGACTCCAAAGCTTGCTTCTATTTGTTTACTCGCACACCGTCAGTCTCGCCGCGTACATCCTTAGCAATTCCCTTTCAATATCCATCCAGGCTGAGCCATGTGTCAGCTCATGCGGAGCTGGTTCTTAATTATCTCCCTCCGCTGACAGGATCTCTGCATTAGACCAAACCGAATAATTATTGTGCTCCTTTGGAGATATTTTTGCCTCTCTTTTTGATTCCCTGCTTCTTTGCTTTCACATTAAAAATTGATCAGAGTCTTGAGCAGTAACGGCTCTGCCAGCAGTTTTTCCTCTCGCTGGAGGTTTATGCCAACATTTGCGCTAGGAGGAGGGCAAGGGCTCTTTGGCATCTCAGAGCAGGCTGTGTTTTCCTGTGAGAACCCTAATATTTGCCCAGGCCTTTCCCATTTACCTCACAAATCCCTCCATTGATTTCAGAACTTGTGGCAGGGGATATCTTTTATTAAACCAATTAGATATTTGCAAAAACTATTTTCATTTGCAAACTTTTGGGCACATTCAACCTTCCTCAGGCATAGGAGAATGCAAAGATTGTAACATTTCTCCTTGGTGGAAATGAAAATTCACCTAGAGTGAGTGTGCCAGAAGTTTGCAAATAAAAAAAAAAAAATGTATATTTTTTTGCAACTATCTAGTTGGTTTAATAAAAGAGATCACCTCTGTCATGAGTTCTGAGTCCTTTTGCCTGTAGATCAATATGGCTACAACCTGTATCCATTGATTTTGCACACACAAGGTGCTCCAGGTGCTTCCTCGGTTGGCCAGAAGAGTCACTATTGAGAGGCGCTTGCTTTGCCCTGCTCTCCAAAGAGGAAATTGCAGCACCAAAGCTGGTGCTCCCAGCAGCCAGGGAGTAAAAAAGAGGGGGCTAGAGTGAGAGGGTAGGGTGTGAGGTAGCATGGAATGAGTGGAGAAGATTAGGTCATGATCTTGCCCTCACCAACCCATGCAACCCTTACCTTAACTTCTTCCTCTGCTATTTGTTACCTTCCATTTCATTCCAGCTTAGCTTTGCCCTGCTTTTCCTGGCTTTCTTGCTTCATGCCTTTCCCTTCTTCCCCCTTTTTTCCTAAGTCGTACCTATACTTCCTTGCATGTGCAGCACACACCCCTCCATGCTCATGCCTTTCACTCCACAGGATCCTCCTCGCTTACCTCTTTTTGCTCTTGGGTCACTTTTCTCCAAGGCAGACCCCTTTTCCCAAACTTCCCTTTAAAAATTATGTTTTTACTTCCTTCACACCTTCCAATTTTTCCTCCCAGAGCCCTGGTTTTTTTAGGCATCTTTCTCCCTTCATTTTCCTCTCATGTAATCAGTGTTTCCCTCTCTTGTAATATTGCTTCCCTCAGCCCTGGCTGCAGCTCTTGGATCAGGTAAAGACATTCAATCTGAGCTGCCTCCCCTTTTTAAGTGTATATTTCTAATTAGCCAAATAATCAAATACTCTGTAAGCTGTAGAGCAGTCATGTGAGTTGCATCATTTGAAAAGAAGAAAGAGGCCTCTATGTGGCAGCCATTTCAGAAAATATAAGGGAGGCAGTAAGTGACTGGGGCGTTTCTTTTCATAACAGCAAAGACTTGAGCGTCTCCTACTTCCTACAAGCCTGAGATTTTAATGAGGTGATCTGTGCATTTTTGACCTGACGAAAATATCTGTCTTAATACTGGGTGAAATCCTGGCCCCTGTTAAGCTGACTTCAGTAAGGCCTGGATTTTACACTTTCCATGTTCCTTTCTCTCACCCAGGTGGATTCAGAAAACGAACCCCGCTCCAAGCTGATTCACAGTGCATTCAAGGAAGCAATAAAGGTGCTGCAGAACAAAGGTGTCATTTTCCTGAAATCAAAATGTTCCAGAGACTTGTATCACGTAAGGAAATGAGCTGCACATGGGTGGATCTAGAACTTTGAAACGGGGGGTGCAGATGGCAAGGTGCATCATCACATACAAAATGACACCTTTTTCTCCAGTTAAAAAGAAACTAGAAGGTTTACTAATATGCTATGGGCCTAGGGCTATATTATTCAGTTTAAGATTGAAGCAAAAACAAATGTAACTTCATTGGGATGAGTTGAAAACAGTCTGCAGGGCTGTGAAATAGGAGGTTTATTACCAGGAGCAACTAAGAGACAGGAGAATGGAGAACAAACAATAATTTGACTGGTGGAACATCAGAGACGAGAGGGTCGTTAACACCCGTGGGATGAAGCATTTAGACGGGATCAGGTGTTAATGAGCTATGAAGTGAAGTGATCCCCCCCCCCCCCCCAGCACTGCCTGACTAGAAATGTTGCTGCCACTGCCAGGCAGTTGGTTTTAATCTTTTGGTGGACTGGGAATCAAAGTGGGATGTGTGTGCACCCCCCTTGGATCTGCCTGTGAAGCTGTGCTTGGGAAGATGTGTAGCTGGATGCTATGATTGTACTACCAGCAGGAAGCACTCTGGAGTGTGGCTGTGTAGTGTAGCCCCAGAAGCGGCAAGATAGTTTCAAAAGGGGAAGGTTGGTTTAATAGGGTCAATCTGTATGCTCAGGAAGCATCATAGGTGCTCATCACCAGTGCAGCTGCAGTAGGTGTACTGTTGTGTGTGTGTGTGTGCGTGTACATTTGTGAGAGCATTAGCTGTACAGCTGCTGCCTCTGTCTGGTGGCCAGTGGCAATCAACTCCATACTCCTT